ACAGGCCGCCCCAACACACCAACCTGAAAGACATAAATTAGACACAAACACAACATAAACAACATGAGTATTCGATATCAAATGCATCTAACTAATATGATCAATTTTATGTATTCTTCTTTTTGTCAAGTTTAACATAACCTACATTCGGTCGTGAGTGTGTTTTACCTGTTGGTGGAGGTTGATACATTTCTCTATCAGAGCTCACAGCTCCCAAACTCTCCACCACTTAACTGGACAGGGAGGGGCAGGATAAGCCAGGTACTAAAGGGAGGGACTAAAGGGAGGAGGATGAAAGGAGATAGTTAGAGAGTGTATCATGGGTTTAAATGAGGACAAAAAATTCTCAATATTGAATCTAGCTAGCTAAAGTTAGCTAACGTTACAGTAACTTTAACTAGCTACTGTAGCTAGCTAATGTTAGCTAAAACGTACCAACACTTATACAACAATTACCAGCTAACATTACAGGCTATGTAGCTTGGCTAGCTGATGAAAAACAAAGAGTACATTACATTATGTATTGTTTATTAGTTATTTGATAGTAGTTTGATTAATTATTATCTTAGCTAGGGAATAGCTATGGTTCACTCACCTTTCACGTCGATTCGTCGCAAGTCATCTCTTATCTGTCCTGTCTCTCCAACCATTCGCGCGCTTCCCGCTTCCAGTTGTCTTTTGACCAAAGTTCTCAATTTGAATTATATGCACAAGGGCCCTTTACTCACAAGCCCACTGCTGGTTCCAAAACGAAACCCTCTTTTGAAAAGGGTTCTTCAAATCACCCCTTAAGTCTACAAATGTTCAAAAACGAACTGATGGCAGAGTATAGGTTCTTAAATGAACATTGATGTTATTTTTTAAACCTTATATTACCCTGAAGGATCCTCCAGGAACCTTTTATTTATAGAGTGTGCTTTATAGCAATTCCTGCAGCACTCTTTTAATTTCATGGAGCACAGTCCAGAAGTCAGTAAGATACTTCAGTTTACTATCCCTCCCTCCTCAGTCAGATATGAAGAGTGTCCGGGTCATTTTCTACCCAACAAGTGCCTTTAAATGAATTCTGTTGATGAAATAGCACTCAAATGTTGACACCAGACAGAATTATGACCAAGGCATGATTTACAGATTCAATCTCATAATTTGCATTTTGTTTACCTTGCTCAGCTTTTGACCCCACTGACCCTTTGCTGACGAGATTAACTCTGACCCCACCATCAGCCTTCCCCAGCCAAGCTAATACCATTAACCAATACAATACACAAATGGGGTGTCAATGTAAATAGTCCGGCCATTTGATTAATTGTTCAGCAGTCTTATAGCTTGGGGGTAGAAGCTGTTGAGGAGCCTTTTGGACCTAGACATGGCGCTCCGGTACCACTTACCATGCGGTAGCAGAGAGAACAGTCTATGACTTGGGTGACTGGAGTCTTTGACAATTTTTTGGGCCTTCCTCTGACACCGCCTAGTATATAGGTCCTGGATGGCAGGAACCTTGGCCCCAATGATGTACTGGGCCGTACGCACTACCCTCTGTAGCGCCTTATGGTCGGATGCCGAGCAGTTGCCATACCAGGCGGTGATGCAACCGGTCAGGATGCTTTCGATGATGCAGCTGTAGAACTTTTTGAGGATCTGGGGACCCACGCCAAATCTTTTCAGTCGCCCTCTTCACTACTGTCTTGGTGTGTTTGGATCATGATAGTTTGTTGGTGATGTGGACGCCAAGGAACTTGAAACTCTCTACCCACTCCACTACAGCCCCGTCGATGTGAATGGGGGTGTGTTCGGTCCTCCTTTTCCTGTAGTACACGATCAGCTCCTTTGTCTTGCTTACGTTGAGGGAGAGGTTGTTGTCCTGGCACCACACTGCCAGGTCTCTGACCTCCTCCCTATAGGCTGTCTCATCGTTGTCGGTGATCAGGCCTTTAACTGTTGTGTCGTCAGCAAACTTAATGATGGTGTTGGAGTCGTGCTTGGCCACGCAGTCGTGGGTGAACAGGGAGTACAGGAGGGGACTAAGCACGCACCCCTGAGGGGCCCCCGTGTTGAGGATCAGCGTGGCAGATGTGTTGTTGCCTACCCTTACCATCTGGGGGCAGCCCATCAGGAAGTCCAGGATCCAGTTGGAGGTGTTTAGTTCCAGGGTCCTTAGCTTAGTGATGAGCTTTGTGGGCACTATGGTGTTGAACGCTGAGCTGTAGTCAATGAACAGCATTCTCACATAGGTGTTCCTTTTGTCCAGGTGGGAAAGGGCAGTGTGGAGTGCGATTGAGATTGTGTCATCTGTGGATCTGTTAGGGCAGTATGCGAATTGGAGTGGGTCTAGGGTTTCCGGGATGATGGTGTTAATGAGAGCCATGACCAGCCTTTCAAAGCACTTCATGGCTACCGACGTGAGAGCTACGGGGCGGTAGTCATTAAGGCTGGTTACCTTCGCTTTCTTGGGCACAGGGACTATGGTGGTCTGCTTGAAACATGTAGGTATTACAGACTCGGTCAGGGAGAGGTTGAAAATGTCAGTGAAGACACTTGCCAGTTGGTCCGCGCATGCTCTGAGTACATGTCCTGGTAATCCGTCTGGCCCTGCAGCCTTGTGAATGTTGACCTGTTTAAAGGTCTAGCTCACATCGGCTATGGAGAGCGTGATCACACAGTCATCCAGAACAGCTGGTGCTCTCATGCATGCTCCAGTATTGCTTGCCTCGAAGTGAGTATAAAAGGCATTTAGCTCATCTGGTAGGCTCGAGGATATTTTTGTGTATTTCAATCACTGAAATATACCTTTAAAATGTGTTTTATAATGTGCTAGTGGTAGGCCAGGGTTGGGCAATCCTTATTTTTGTTACAGTTGTTTACATAATATTTAAAGGGACATTACACTTTCAAATCAAAATTTGTCATACGTTTTCAGACCTCAAAAGTAGGCTAATGTCAAGATGAATTCACGTCCCATGACATTAGTTGTGTAGATCCAGCGCATATGCCTCAATGCCAAATTAACTGAAAAGATAAGCACAGAATAAAACCAGGAAATCAAACAATATTTTCCATTCATTTGGGTTGGAGGAATAGCTGGATCTACACAACAGAGATGGCCTGGGATGTGGACATATCTCAACATTAGCCTACTTTTGAAATCTGAAAAGATCTGACAAACTTTTATTTTGGAATGAAATGTTAGTTTAACTCCTAAAATGGAGATAACATATTGATGTAGAACTGCAGTAGTAGTAGTAGTAGTGGTGGTGGTGGCTGCCTGGTATCAACAGCTGTGCATCAACAGACAGTTTAAATGATGGATGTGTCAATCAGTGAACAGCAGCGGCTTGCCTCTGTCCAGTCAAATGGAACTAGCCGGTGGTTTGTGACGAGATGAGCGCAAGGCATGGTGATTGTAAATCAATGCTCTGCTCACCCCCGATGCGGCCTGCAGACAAACACCCACCAGCCGCAGTCTGGTTGTTAAAACACAAACCTCCTCGCTCTCGTAAGGGATACATTTGTGCGTGTGTGTGTGTATGAGCAACTGGGCTACAAATAATTGCAGTCCAGAGGTTTTACTTTCATCCTATAATTTCCTAACTGATGTGTGTATGTAAGCAAGCTCAGTTTAAGTGTAATTCTCGTTGTCATGGCAATCAGATTGTTTATTATCACTTGTACATTAACAAATGTGGAATTGAGGTTTAAAAGCCAGTACAATCATTGTTTTCTGCTAAGAGGTCAGTGGGGGCACAATTCAGCATTAATTGCTGAAGAAGTGCTAAAGTGTAAGTGTATTGCATGAATGCTGTGTTGATTGTGTAATACTTGAATATTGGTTTGAACAGATTGGTTGATTGCTCAATTGGCTTGTTGACATTTACACTTATGTTTAGAGTAGCTATATTCCCTATATCTCCCATAACCTTTCATGCGGAACATGGAGAATTTGTCATGGTCTGGGATTTAACTAATAATTTGGTGTTATGTGTATGCCACTTAGTACTAGAGTAAAGCCATACAAACTTGATTAACTGTTTAACAGATTTATTTGCAAAGTGACGTGAGGGAGCAAGTAAAATAGAGAAATACAAGTGGACCACCTTGTAAAAATACTATATCGACCTAAGCGACCTTAATACTATAGCTACCTCGTCAACAGATTGAGCCATTTCATGTAATGGTTAAAGTTTTGGACTGACAGTCACAGGGACCCCGGTTTGAGTCCCTGTGTCTGAGGCACAGTTAATTTTTCATAATCTGAGAGGACGTTCTGTATTTCTTTACTGGAAGCTTGATTACATTATTTGCTATAATCTTGCAACTTTTCAGATTTGTATTTTCTTTTTGAGAAATGTGAGGAAATGTGGCCTACAACAGTAGCCTATCAGATTTTTTAAAAGAAACACTGGACTTAATAACCAAGATAGGAGGAAAACACTTACAAATATATACTATTTAATTGGCGATTTAAAAACCTTGACATCCCTCCTTCCACAAATGCATAAAATAGTCCTACAGTTTTTTCAGGTGCAGGACTTTCTTCAACGGTTTCAATTACGCTTCAAATATATAGATCTCTTTTTCCATAAATCAGATCGCACCAAATGGTAGCTGGCTGAGGAACGCTCAACTGCATTCTCTTATATCTAGGCTGAGTTGAGTTTTGATAACTAACTGGTTGTGGTATTTGCTAGCAACAACATTGAGCTTTTCGATCTTAATTTAAGGTTAGGGTAAGGCATTAGGGTTAGCAGTGTGAATAGGTTTAACATCAGATTTTATGACTTTGTGGCGGTGCCAGCTCCTGACCACTCTGCAGAGCTGCCTCCAGTCCATGAGTAATCTCAATAAATGCCAACCTGCGTTTGCAGTGTCAATTTTATTTGACAAACACTGCCATCTGCAGGATAGAAAAGAGCATGCAGCTCATTCCCTCTCCACATGGGATGAAAAGTAGTCCCGCCTCCTGTGTTTTGGTGCTCCGAGGAATCACGTGTTTTGCTCATCCCATGCCCTACACCGTCTCCGAAATTCTCAATATCGCCGAAAACATGGTGACAACGGAGGACTTGTCCGGCGAGACAGGTGCTCGAAGGGAGCCCCAATTTTACCGGGATTCGTCTACGACGGCCTTGGACATGGACACATCAAACTTGCTTCTCGGAGCCGGGGTGACAGTGATCACACACCCGCTGCTGTACGTCAAACTGCTAATTCAGGTACTGTTAGCTAGCTAAGCTTGCGAGCTCAATTTAGCTAGCTAAATTCACATAATTTGTTTGAGTTATTAATTATTTAGCTAGCAAGCACGAAAACTAACACTTTGAAGTGCCACCTCATTGGGGTGTTTGAGTTTGCTTGACGGCTAGCTGGGAGTTTGTTAGGGTAAAGCTAGCTAACGTCAGATGGCATGATCTCTCCTTTGCCAACCTCCGATCAAACCGCAATGTCATCTCACATAAGTAGGTGTGTCTGGGGAAGACAGAAAGCGACATTTTCAAATATTATTTACATGAAATGTTAATGTAAATCATCATCCCTTTAAGTTCCTGTCACAATTTCATTTATTTGTTATTGTTTGTTTAGTTGTATAAACAATTCAGCTTTTAGCTGCCATGGATACACAAAATAAAACTAAACGAAAAAGCAATACTAAAATACACTGCCTGCCGGCCTGCCCTCTTTTCATCACTGTACTTGTCAAGATGGCCCACCTCTGCTAACTGCAAGTGCATGCCAAGATCCTACCACTACAACTAGCTATATGAACAAACATATAAACGCAACAATTTCAAAGATTTTACTGAGTTACAGTTCATACACTGCTCAAAAAAATAAAGGGAACACTAAAATAACACATCCTAGATCTGAATTAATGAAATAATCTTATTAAATACTTTTTTCTTTACATAGTTGAATGTGCTGATAACAAAACCACACAAAAATGATCAATGGAAATCATATGTATCAACCCATGGAGGTCTGGATTTGGAGTCACCCTCAAAATTAAAGTGGAAAACCACACTACAGGCTGATCCAACTTTGATGTAATGTCCTTAAAACAAGTCAAAATGAGGCTCAGTAGTGTGTGTGGCCTCCACGTGCCTGTATGACCTCCCTACAACGCCTGGGCATGCTCCTGATGAGGTGGCGGATGGTCTCCTGAGGGATCTCCTCCCAGACCTGTACTAAAGCATCCGCCAACTCCTGGACAGTCTGTGGTGCAACGTGGCGTTGGTGGATGGAGCGAGACATGATGTCCCAGATGTGCTCAATTGGATTCAGGTCTGGGGAACGGGCGGGCCAGTCCATGGCATCAATGCCTTCCTCTTGCAGGAACTGCTGACACACTCCAGCCACATGAGGTCTAGCATTGTCTTGCATTAGGAGGAACCCAGGGCCAACTGCACCAGCATATGGTCTCACAAGGGGTCTGAGGATCTCATCTCGGTACCTAATGGCAGTCAGGCTACCTCTGGCGAGCACATGGAGGGCTGTGCGGCCCCCCAAAGAAATGCCACCCCACACCATGACTGACCCACCGCCAAACCGGTCATGCTGGAGGATGTTGCAGGCAGCAGAACGTTCTCCACGGCGTCTCCAGACTTGGTCACGTCTGTCACATGTGCTCAGTGTGAACCTGCTTTCATCTGTGAAGAAAGAGCACAGGGCGCCAGTGGCGAATTTGCCAATCTTGGTGTTCTCTGGCAAATGCCAAACGTCCTGCACGGTGTTGGGCTGTAAGCACAACCCCCACCTGTGGACGTCGGTCCCTCATACCACCCTCATGGAGTCTGTTTCTGACCGTTTGAGCAGACACATGCACATTTGTGGCCTGCTGGAGGTCATTTTGCGGGGCTCTGGCAGTGCTCCTCCTGCTCCTCCTTGCACAAAGGCGGAGGTAGCAGTCCTGCTGCTGGGTTGTTGCCCTCCTACGGCCTCCTCCACGTCTCCTGATGTACTGGCCTGTCTCCTGGTAGCGCTTCCATGCTCTGGACACTACGCTGACAGACACAGCAAACCTTCTTGCCACAGCTCGCATTGATGTACCATCCTGGATGAGCTGCACTACCTGAGCCACTTGTGTGGGTTGTAGACTCCGTCTCATGCTACCACTAGAGTGAAAGCACCGCCAGCATTCAAAAGTGACCAAAACATCAGCCAGGAAGCATAGGAACTGAGAAGTGGTCTGTGGTCACCACCTGCAAAACCAGTCCTTTATTGGGGGTGTCTTGCTAATTGCCTATAATTTCCACCTGTTGTCTATTCCATTTGCACAACAGCATGTGAAATGTATTGTCAATCAGTGTTGCTTCCTAAGTGGACAGTTTGATTTCACAGAAGTGTGATTGACTTGGAGTTACATTGTGTTGTTTAAGTGTTCCCTTTATTTTTTTGAGCAGTGTATAATAAATTCATTAGGCCCTAATCTATGGATTTCACATGACTGGGAATACATATATGCATCTGTTGGTCACAGATACCTTTAAAAAAAGTTGGGGCGTGGATCAGAAATCCAGTCATTATCTGGTGTGACCACTATTTACCTCATGCAGCGCGACCTTCGCATAGAGTTGATCAGGCTGTTGGTTGTGGCCTGTGGAATGTTGTCCCACTCCTCTTCAATGGCTGTGCGAAGTTGCTAGATAGTGGCAGGAACTGGAAAACGCTGTCGTAAACGTAGATCCAGAGCATCCCAAACATGCTCAATGGGTGACATGTCTAATGAGTATGCAGGACATGGAAGAACTGGGACACTTTCAGCTTCCAGGAATTGTGTACAGATCCTTGCGACATGGGGCTGTGCATTATCATGCTGAAACATGAGGTGATGCGGCAGATAAATGGCACGACAATGGGCCTCAGGATCTCGTCACGATATCTCTGTGCATTCAAATTGCCATAGATAATGCAATTGTGTTCGTTGTCTGTAGCTTAGGCCTGTTCATACCATAACCCCACTGCCACCATGGGGCATTCTGTTCACAACGTTGACATCATCAAACCGCTCGCCCACACAACGCCATACGTATGGTCTGCGATTGTGAGGCCGGTTGGACATACTGCCAAATTCTCTAAAACGACGTTGGAGGCGGCTTATGGTAGAGAAATGAACATTCAATTCTCTGGCAACAGCTCTGGTAGACATTCATCCATTCAGCATGCCAATTGCACGCTCCCTCAACTTGAAACATCTGTGGCATTGTGTGCACCTGGGTAATGATCATGCTGTTTAATCAGTTTCTTGATATGGCACACCTGTCAGGTGGATGGATTATCTTGGCAAAGGAGAAATGCTCACTAACAGGAATGTAAACAAATTTGTCCACCAAATTTGAGAGAGATCAGCTTTTTTTGTGTATGGACAATTTCTGGGATCTTTTATTTCAGCTCATGAAACATGGGAGCAACACTTTACATGTTGCGTTGATATTTTTGTTCAGTGTAGTTAAAGTAATAGCTAGCTAGAAAATATCAATGTACTTCCCCTCTAGTATGCCAGCTTGATTCCAGTAAGTTGTGTGTGCCTTTCGTGAACTAACACTTTACCTTTTTTTTTTTTCTACTAGCACTGGCTTTGCTGATGTACTGAGATACTGAATGTGGTTGTCCCACCTACCTATCTTAAGATGAATGCACTAACTTTAAGTCGCTCTGGATAAGAGCGTCTGCTAAAAATGACTAACATTTAAATGTAGATTGGACATGAGCCCCTCACCCCAACTGTTGGAACCACCATGTTTGGGAGGAAAGTGTTGTACCTCCCTGGATTCTTCTCCTATGGTGAGTGGGTCTTCATGGCTTATCATCCTAATTTATCACCCTGAATGGGGAAGAAGAGGTGACAGCGATGTGATGTCTATCTGTCCACAGCACAGCACGTTGTAAGGGTGGATGGAAAGAGGGGACTCTTCCGAGGTCTGTCCCCTTGTATTATGTCCAGTGCCATCTCTACCATGGTCCGGAGTAAAGTCAAACAGGTGAGGGAATCCTAGACCCAGAGGAGAGGTAGTTCATACTCACTAATAACATATTGCAACTGCTCTCAATAGGTCTTTGAAATGCGCATCTCTGGCCACAAAGCGTATAATCCAACCAATCATTGGAGCTTGCAAGTGTACAGTCAGAATATCCTTATCAAATGAGAGAGACACATGTAATTAAATAATATATTTGTGACAGTATGCGGGAAGAACTTAATTTATATAGTAATTGAAGGCCTGACATCTTTTCCCTCTCCAGACCATTCCAGCAGATGATGTATCGAACAGAGATGACTTGAAGACCTCCCTCAGGAAAGTGGTCAAAGTGGTGAGAGGTCAAAGTGCGATAGGGCACATAATATGAAAGTATCAAATGTCATGTGGGTCCATGTAAAGCCAGTTGAGTTTAGTAAATTGGGAGGGATAGTTTTTATTTTGTTATCACTCTCCCTTTTCTAGACATTCTGTAAGTCTCTAAGTATTATGATTAGGATACAGTTGAAATCGGAAGTTTACATACACTTAGGTTGGAGTCATTCAAATTCATTTTTCAACCACTCCAAAAATTTCTTATTAACAAACTATAGTTTTGGCAAGTCGGTTAGGACAGAGATTTTTTCACTTATAATTCACTGTATCACAATTCCAGTGGGTCAGAAGTTTACATACATTAAGTTGGCTGTGCCTTTAAACAGCTTGGAAAATTCCAGAAAATGATGTCATGGCTTTAGAAGCTTCTGATAGGCTAATTAACATAATTTGAGTCAATTGGAGGTGTACCTGTGGATGTATTTCAAGGCCTACCTTCAAACTCAGTGCCTCTTTGCTTGACATCATGGGAAAATCAAAAGAAATCAGCCAAGACCTCAGAAGAAAAATAATTGTAGACCTCCACATGTCTGGTTCATCCTTGGGAGCAATTTCTAAACGCCTGAAGGTACCACGTTCATCTGTACAAACAATAGTACGCAAGTATAAACACAGTAAAACGAGTCCTATATCGACATAACCTGGAAGGCCGCTCAGCAAGGAAGAAGCCACTGCTCCAAAACCGGCATAAAAAAGCCAGACTACGGTTTGCAACTGCACATAAGGACAAAGATCATACTTTTTGGAGAAATGTCCTCTGATCTGATGAAACAAAAATAGAACTGTTTGGCCATAATGACCATCGTTATGTTTGGAGGAAAAAGGGGGTGGTTTGCAAGCCGAAGAACACCATCCCAACCGTGAAGCACGGGGTGGCAGCATCAAGTGGGGGTGCTTGCTGGGGGATGGGCACTTATAAATAGTGGCCAGAGAAGTAAATTAGGGGATATATTGAGCAAGCTGTCAGTCGGAGGAGTTAATGGTCGCAAACTTTGGACATGACCCAAGATACTTCCAAGTGTGGCAAATGGCTAAGAACAACAAGTCAAGTAGGAAGGCCATCAAAAAATCCTCTAGAATAATTTGTGGGAACTGAAAAGGTGTGCAACAAGGAGGCCTATAATTGAGTTACCCCCTGTCAGGAGGAAGGCCAAAATCCAACTATTGTGGGAAGCTTGTGGAAGGCTACCCAAACGTTTGACCAAGTAAATATAAGCAAGTACCAATACTATATGATGGAATTTGACCCACTGGAATGTGTTGAAGAATAAACGAAACAAATGTTATTATTCGACATTCACATTCTAAAAATGGGATCTAATGACCTAAACAGGGTATTTCTATTTAAATGTAGGAAGAAAACTGAGTTAATGATTTGCAAGGGTATAAACTACTCCAACTTGTGTGTTGGCTGTTTGTCTATTTAAATAAACACATAAATAAAATAACATTTGAATGGCCAGCATACCTGTAACAGGTAATTAACAAATCCACTCTTATGTTATAGTTGATAAAGTATAACATTATGTTGAGAAATTCTTCATTTGCTGGTCTTATCTTTCTTTGCGTTTGCACTAGCTTCCAGTATAGCCTAGTTGGTGATTTCTGAACGGATTAGATGTAGCAGTTTTGCATAGCTATGCCCGCTGATACTTGGCACTGTTTGATTTCTTCTTTCTCTCAAGACCTCACATGAGATGGTCATCCAGTGCCTGTCCAGGATAGCCACTCATCCGTTCCATGGTAAGTCCTAAGGCTATTGCTGTGTTGATTGTCTGTCTGTTTATTTTCTCTGTTGGCAAGGAGTTCATAGCTTTGTATTTTAATGGCCTTATGTATTTGTTAGCTCTAAGGTTTAGTTTCCTTGTGATATTCTGCAGATCCAGTCACTAGTGAAAGTCTACACACCCCTTGCAAAGTCTTCACATTTTGCTGCCTTAAAATGTAATCTAAAAAGGAATACATTTGTTTTTTTTCCTCCTACCGATCTACACAACCTACTCCACATTTTCAAAGTGAAAGAAAAATTATAGAACACTTTCGAAATTGATTAAAAATAAATAAAACAAATGAAGATATCTTGATTGTGTACACTACCGGTCAAAAGTTTTAGATCACCTACTCATTCAAGGGTTTTTCTTTATTTTTACTATTTTCTACATTGTAGAAGAATAGTGAAGACATCAAAACTATGAAATAACACATATGGAATCATGTAGTAACCAAAAAAGAGTTAAACAAATCAAAATATATTTTATATTTGAGATTCTTCAAATAGCCACCCTTTGCCTTGATGACAACTTTGCACACTCTTGGCATTCTCTCAATCAGCTTCATGGAATGCATTTCAATTAACAGGTGTGCCTTCTTAAAAGTTAATTTGTGGAATTTCTTTCCTTCTTAATGTGTTTTGAGTCAATCAGTTGTATTGTGACAAGGTGGGGGGGGGGGGGGGGGTATACAGAAGATAGCCCTGGCTCTCATGAGGACCGCCACAGGAAAGGAAGACCCAGAGTTACCTCTACTGCAGAGGATAAGTTCATTAGTTACCAGCCTCAGAAATTGCACCCCAAATAAATGCTTCACAGAGTTTAAATAACAGACCCATCTCAACATCAATTGTTCAGAGGAGACTGTGTGAATCAGGCCTTAATGGTCGAATTGCTGCAAAGAAACCCCATACTAAAGGACACCAATAATAAGAAGAGACTTGCTTGGGCCAAGAAACACAAACCATTAGACCGGTGGAAATGTGTCCTTTGGTCTGGAGTCCAAATTTGAGATTTTTTGGTTCCAACCGCCGTGTCTTTGTGAGATGCGGTGTGGGTGAACGGATGATCTCCGCATGTGTTAATACTTGGTGGAAGCACCTTTGGCAGCCATTAGAGCTATGAATAATTTTGAATAAGATTCTACCCACTTTGCACAACTCTTGCACAGCTGAAGCTCAGTAATTTTGGTTGGGAATCGTTGATGACAGCAATATTCAAATATTGTCTCTGATTTTCAAGCAAATTTAAGTTATGACTGAGACTGGACCACTCAATACCTCTTGGAGAGCCATTCTGGTGTGTCTTTGGCATAACATTTGTAACTGTCCAGCTGAAAAATACAACTCTATTGTAGGTTAGGTTTTCATAAGACTGAGGTGGGTTTTCCTCTAATCTTTTACCTGGGCTTTGCGCCTTTCATATTTATTTTGACCTGACGAACTCCCCAGTCCCTGCAGGTGACTATTCCTTGAAACATTGAACCGCTGTAGTTTACAACAATTCTAATTTGCTGCCTCTCTAACCTGGTGGTCCCTGCACGCACCACACACCTGGAGTTCCAGGTCTCAGGCAGCCTCTGGAACTGCCGTTCTGCTGCCAACAAGGCTGACTTCATCCCAGCCTATGCTACCCTCCAGTCCCTCGACTTCCTGGCGCTGACGGAAACATGGATTACCACTGAAAACACTGCTACTCCTACTGCTCTCTCCTCGTCTGACCATGTGTTCTCGCATACCCCGAGAGCATCTGGTCAGAGGGGTGGTGGCACAGGAATCCTCATCTCTCCCAAGTGGACATTCTCAATTTTTCCCCTAACCCATCTGTCTATCTCCTCATTTGAATTCCATGCTGTCACAGTCACTAGCCCATTTAAGCTTAATATCCTTGTCATCTATCGCCCTCCAGGTTCCCTTGGAGAGTTCATCAATGAGCTTGACGCCTTGATAAGTTCCTTTCCTGAGGATGGCTCACCCCTCACAGTTTTGGGGGATTTCAACCTCCCTACGTCTACATTTGACTCATTTCTCTCTGCCTCCTTCTTTCCACTCCTCTCCTCTTTTGACCTCACCCTCTCACCGTCACCCCCTACTCACAAGGCAGGCAATACGCTTGAGCTCATCTTTACTAGATGCTGCTCTTCTACTAATCTCACTGCAACTCCCCTCCATGTCTCCGACCACTACTTTGTATCCTTTTCTCTCTCGCTCTCCTCCAACACTACTCACTCTGCCCCTACACAGATGGTAATGCGCTGCCGCAACCTTCGCTCTCTCTCTCCCACTACTCTCTCCTCTTCCATCCTATCATCTCTTCCCTCTGCTCAATCCTTCTCCCTCCAATCTCCTGATTCTGCCTCCTCAACCCTCCTCTCCTCCCTTTCTGCATCCTTTGACTCTCTGTGTCCCCTATCCTCCCGGCCGGCTCGGTCCTCCCCTCCAGCTCCGTGGCTTGATGACTCATTGCGAGCTCACAGAACAGAGCTCCGGGCAGCGGAGCGGAAATGGAAGAAAACTAAACTCCCTGCCGACCTGGCATCTTTTCACTCCCTCCTCTCTACATTTTCTTCATCTGTTTCTGCTGCTAAGGCCACTTTCTACCACTCTAAATTCCAAGCATCTGCCTCTAACCCTAGGAAGCTCTTTGCCACATTCTCCTCCCTGCTGAATCCTCCCCCCCCTCCTCTCTCTCTGTGGATGACTTCGTCAACCACTTTGAAAAGAAGGTTGACGACATCCGATCCTCGTTTGTTAAGTCTAATGACACTGCTGGTCCTGCTCACACTGCCCTACCCTATGCTTTGACTTCTTTCTCCCCTCTCTCTCCAGATAAAATCTTGCGACTTGTGACTGCAGGCCGCCCAACAACCTGCCCGCTTGACCCCATCCCCTCCTCTCTTCTCCAGACCATCTCCGGCGACCTTCTCCCCTACCTCACCTCGCTGATCAAGTCATCCTTGACCGCTGGCTATGTCCCTTCCGTCTTCAAGAGAGCGAGAGTTGCACCCCTTCTCAAAAAACCAACACTCGATCCCACTGATGTCAACAACTACAGACCAGTATCCCTTCTTTCTTTTCTTTCCAAAACTATTGAGCGTGCCGTCTTTAGCCAACTCTCTTGCTATCTCTCTCAGAATGACCTTCTTGATCCAAACCAGTCAGGTTTCAGGACTGGTCATTCAACTGAGACT